CTCCTCCTGACAAAAACAATGATAAGTCCTTGTTTATTGAGCACTTACTATATTCTAATTTGCTTATCTGTGTGATCCCATTCCATCTTTACTACTACTCTATGAAGGGGCTTCAGGAATGAGATTATGCCCCAAGGGCACATGTTGGCAAGCGGGACCTTGGGAAAGTATTTTAATCTCTCTAAACTTTAGTCAATTCATTTTCTTCAATAAAAAAATCTATTGAGCACTACACTGAGTCCAGTGCAGTGGTGGGGGCTGAAGATAATGCATCAAACAAATCATAGAGAGAGGTAGCTCCTGCCCCAGGAAATTTGCAGAGGAGATGGGCACCCATCAAATATTAACGCAATAATAATACGAGTAAATGAAGTGATGCATTTAACATGGTTAGAACTGCCTGGCACAAAAATAAACGCTCATGGGGGCAGTTATCACTATAATTAATCATAATCATGATAAGTGCTCTAAAGGGGATTTGGGGAGCACAAAATAGGAAACACTGACTAATCTTGGTGGATCTGTGAGGAAGAGCTTTCCCCAGGTGCTGGCTTCCAAGCTGAGCTGCTCATAGGTAGGTACCAATTAGTCACCAGAAAGAGTGTTCTAGAAAGAGCAAACAGCAAGGGCAAAGCCTGAAGGTAGAAACCTGATGACACATTTGAGAAACTATAAGAAGGCCAAGGGAGACTTGGGTGTAGTTTCCAGAAGGAAATAAATAAGGCGAAGGGCTCAGCTGGGCAGCGCTTTGAAGGCTGGGGGAGAAGTTTGGATTTATCCCCCAGCACTCGGGAGGTGGGCAAGGTCTTGACATGCTCTGATCTGGCCCAGTTCCCATTGTCCACTCTCTGGCTTCTTAAGAGAACAACTTTAGACACATTAAATTTACAAGAGTCTATTTGAGCAAAGAAATGATTGATCAATTGGGCAGCACCGTAAACCAGTAAAAGTTTGGAGAGATGTAACCAGCCACGTGGGCAAGCAGTATTTATCCACGGAAGAAGGAAGTGGCTCATGGACACAGCCTGATGGCTTGCGGCTCAGAGTTTGTCTTGTTTGGACCTGTCTGAGCGGTTTGAAGCCTGTGAATGGCTGAAGCTTGGCGGTTATGATTGGCCAAGGCTCAGTTACCTGTTATGAGAATATACTCTCAAGTTACATTGTAGTTTGTTTACATATTAAGTTATGTTACACTTTGTTATGTATAGAGTCAGCTTCAGTCCAAATTTTAATTTAACAGGCTCCGTTAGATTGTAGTTTCTTTACATATTAAGTTAGGTTGCGAAACACTGAAGTAAAGGGAGAGGCTCTCCTGTGTCTGTGCCTCAGGGTTTCCAGCCCCTTCTGTTCTCATTTCTCTTGAAGACTGTAGTTTATATTCTACTGGGGGTTTATTACACCTCTGACAGTGATGAGAACCATAGACCACCCCAACCACACCGCTGTGAACACTAATCCCGTTCCCAATCTATATATAATTTGGATATTTTGGGGGAACTCTTGAAGCCCGTGGATCTCAGGCTGAGGCAAGAAGACAGCCCAGAGATAGACACACACACAGAGTGCCAGAAACACACACCCCACACATGCTCCCGGAAACAAATACAAGACAGTAACTACACATTGAGGTTTCTTAATTCAAGCCAGGTACTATTCTAACAAGTTTTACAGACATTTCCTTAACCTCACAAGAGCCCTCGGAAATAAATACCGTTGTCCCCGAATGAGAAATGAAGAACACTAAAAATGTGAAGTCAGAAATATGCTCACACCTACATAGGTAGAAGTAAAACACACACAAACTCTCTCCTAGAGAAATGAACGTGGCATATCCACTCAAAGATTTGCACCAAGTTTCAGAGGGTTTGGGAACCACCTAAAAGTCCAACCTGAATTCCAGGTTAAAGGTCAATCTCATGCACATCTGTTGCAATGGACACAAGCGTCAGGGCTTACGAGTGCGGCAGGGCAAAGAATGTGCACCCGCCCTGTACCCACACTGGTGATCTTCCTTCTGTGCCCACAGGGAAGCGCATTTGTGTTGGTGAAGGCATCGCCAAGGCCGAATTGTTCCTCTTCTTCACCACCATCCTCCAGAACTTCTCCCTGGCCAGCCCCGTGGCACCTGAGGACATCGACCTCACACCCCAGAAGAGTGGTGTGGGCAAAATACCCCCAAGATACCAGATCCGCTTCCTGCCTCGCTGAAGGGGCTGAGGGAAGGGGGTAAAAGATTCCAGGGTCATTAAGTGTCTCCACCTCCAAAAACAATGGCCCTGATTCCCTCCACAGCTCCCTGCCTCTGAGAGACCTACTGCGAGCCCGTGTCCTTCCCCCTCCACAGCGTCTGCTGTCTGAGCTGACGTCGCTAGTAGTGGAGGAGCAGGATTCACACTCAGGCTCTAGAACCCAAACTTCATCACAGCCCCCTCTTTTTCATACACATATTTTTAAATTAAGAGCAAATTCACATAAGATAAAATTAACCATTTACAATGTGAGACGTAGTGGCAATGTTCATTCACAATGTTGTCCAACCAGCGGCACGTAGTTCCAAACATTTTTAGCATCCTCCCCGGATGATCAAACTACAACCCAGGCCTATTAAGCAGTCACACCCGTTACCTATTCCCCACTGGCCCCCAGAAAACTCCAATCTGCTTTCTGTTCCTGTGGACTTACCTATTCTGGATATTTCCTAT